GCTCTTCCCTTTTCCTTTTCTCTGCGCTGGTTTTCACCACGTTTGAGTGATGCGAGTTTGGCCTCTCCTTTGCTTGAAGATGCAAGTCTCCTATGAGAGCATCTTTTCAGCTTCCCAGCTCCACTTCATGAACTCATGTCTCTGCTTTACTGTCTGACCTCCATGTGGTACGTGGACTGTTCCAGGGAGCGCTGTCACGGAGGGCCTGGCTTTCATCTTCCTGCCTGAAACCTACATTTCGATGCCAGAACCGCTTTCCTCTGCCTTCCTCTGTGTGGTCACTGTCTCCTCCCCAGCACTTATGAGCCTTTCCAGAAACCTCTGCCCTGCAGGCAAGTCACAATGTGGCTCCGGATCACAAGCCCCGAAGTTTGTTTTGCCTCAGCCCACACTCTGGGCCCCTCATCAGGGAGGACCATCACCACCAAAACGTTCCTGATAGGATTCATTGCCTGATCTGGGAGGGGAATTCTTACAGAGGTACTGCTAGCTCCTGGCTGTCCAACAGGACCCCTGAAGCAAGCTGCGATGGTCCGTATGGCCATGGAGGCCCCTGTTCCCCTATTCGGGGAAGAACTGGCTGTCTTTAACCAGGCTACATCTGCACCCACCCTGCAGCCTCTGCCCCAGGCCCAGGCCAGCATCCCACCCAGGAAGGCTTCTCCAGCCGCAGGGTGACTCTCCAGCACCAGCGACCTGCCGAGGAGAGCCATGAGCTGCTCCCCGCACAGTCCTGGAGCCGTCCGGAACAGTGGGGTGGGGAAGGCAGCCAAGCTTCGGCGCTGGGCCCATGCTGCAAGACCCTGCCCTGTCTTCTTTTCCTTCGTGCATGCTTTGCATCCCATGCAGTCCTCCTCCCATTCCTGATCTCTGTCTGAGACTGGCGTTTTCTGTATGCAGTGCCACAAGGTGATAATAGCCAAGCTTTGAGGAGCTGACTGTTGGCAGATGGTGCTCTGGCCCAGGGCTAGGACACTGAGACCTCAGAATACTGTGAGGTTTCCTCTTGGTTCCTTTTCTCTTGTATATCCTAGCGGAGATATAAAAAATAAACCACTAACTGTCAGTTAGGTTTGGTTAAATGGCTTTTGGCTAAAACCAAAGATCTTGTCAAGAAATGGCCTTATAGTGGTCAGGCTTAGGGAAGAGGAAGAGGTTGTCACCAGAAGAGACCCTGGAAAGGGGAAGGGCTAAACCACAGCTGGAGGGCTGCAAGTGTCCATCCTGCTCCACAGGGATTGCTGGGTCTCTGTGGCTTTGCTAGCAAGGCATGAGCTAATGAACAAGAAGGCTGGGAAATGGGACACTTGGAGAGCAGGTGAAGAGCCTGGTGGAGGTTGGATGGTGCAGAACTAGAGACTGAATAAGACGAGGTGGTCAGAGGGCAAGTGGTGGGGGCAGAAACAAGAATGGCTGTGAGGGAGCAGGGCAAGAGCCGATCCAGTCGGGTGCTTTGTCTCGTGCAGCGGCCAGTAGTGAGCCCCCTTGCTCCATGGCAGCACGCAGGGCTCTGAGACCTGGAGATGGCCCAAGTAGGGTGTGTGAAAGACACAGCTTGGCCATTCACCCTGGATTTGGCTGAGGCGTTTTCTAACCCATTTCCAGGAAAGAGCAGAAGTCTAGAGGATGAATATGAAGCCTCTTGGTTGACATGGGAGCCTGGATCATGGAGGCCCTCTGGAGGTGGCATTACAGAGTCTGCAGGTCGGTGTGGGAAGAAGCTGGACTAACCCCAGTACGGAGTGTGGTGAGGCCTGAAAGCTGGTAAAACTCTGGCACTTTGGGTAAATTGTGGCATTACTAGTGCTTCCCCATGTTGGTAATGCAGATGGTGGTAGGACAGTGGCAGTTATGCCAGCCCAGAGAGCCGTGTCTCCATCTCCATGACGCTGCAGCTAGCTTTGGCCAGTATCAGAGCACACTGAGTAACAGCAGTGCAAGCCCTACCAACATCTCCCTGACCCTATCTTCCATCTTCTGGTGGCCTGCGGCTGAGGGACCTCCTGAGACAGAGATGTGTCTTTATGTTTAACAACCCCCAGTGGACTTCTCTCCCGTTAATTTGTCCATCACTTTTTGAGCCCATGCAAATCTCTGGGCTACACAGCAGGTTACGGTAAGGAGTTCGACGGCTAATCTGCACTTGTTTCCAGCTGTCAGCTGTATAAGCTCTGGCAAAAAAATGCATTTTCCAGGACATTACGGGGTTAATTAAGGCAAATAGCCTGAGGTAATGCATTTAAGGAGAGTAAGTTTCCTTCTATTAAACAGTAGTAGAATTATTCAGCCCTGAATTCTATGGCAGAGTGATTCTGGGGCTGCCTCCTCTCCAGGAGGGTGGCACGTGGGCTGAGTCAGCTCGGGACACAGGACGGCAAGAGGAGCTGAGAAACGCGCGGAGGCCCCGGCTAGAGGGAAGGGATACTCCGCTGCCGGCAGCCCTGCCTGTGGGTGGATGGAGGGGAGGTACGCACGGCAGCGTACGCCACGGGCTCTCAGCTCCTGTGTGGATCCCACAGCACAGCTGTCTATGGAGGCTCGACGGGGAGCTGGAGAATTGGAGGGAGGGACAGCACAGCATGTGAGTGAGCTGATTGTATGTACCAGTGAGAGACCAAACCATGTGAAGCTGAGGGTGTGTGTAGTCCAGACACCCCCAGAAAAACTAGACAGGCCACGGCATTAAGAGGAAACACAGATAATGCATCCCCCCCAGCAGCACCAAACACCAGCCTCACACAGCGCCTACACGGAAATCTGCTCTTCGCGCAAAATTCAGGCTTGAAAACCTGCAACTCTAATAATGCCCTGCAAATCTGCGAGGAAAAAAATGTTCCTCATCCATAAGAAACAGGCTAGAAGGAGTATAGAAATACCACTCTCACTACAACTCATACAGAGCGTATTTCCACCTATAATCTGGATGAGGAAAATGAGGACATGCTTCACCAAAATGACCTGAGATAAACCAGGCTGACTCCTGTGATCCTGAAAGACTAGAGAAGACAAGGTTTAATACTCTACACCACAATGAACCGACAAGTCACTTAAAAGCTATACCTGATGTGGGTAGGCTATTGAAAACGAAAGACAAAAAAAAGAAAATACACTGAATGGAATTGGAATACAAAAAACAACATTTAAAAAAAAAACCCAGACAGAGAAATACCAGCAGAAAAAGAATTATTCACAGTAGTAAAATTCTCCACCAATGCAATAACATAGAAAAAAATGCAAAAGGTCTTACAGTAGTTTTCAAAAAATATTAAGGAAATAAAGACCAGTGTCCGGGTCGGGCACGCAGCGACGCAGGAGCTGCATGTAGGTGAGGTTCTCGTGGGTGTTGGGGTCAAAGAAGCCCTTGGTGTCGTCATCGGGGTCAGAGAGGATCTGGTTCATCTCCTGGTCGAAGAAGCCGCGCCGGTAGGCCCCCTCCACGGGCAGGCGGTGGCTGTGCACGGGGTCGATGATGCCGCCGGTGGCGATCTGGGCCTCGAGCAGGCGGATGCCGTGCTCCTTGACGATGAGCTCCTTCTTCATGGCCTGGAAGAGGGAGATCTGGTCGCCGGTGTAGGGGTCGGTGTAGCCCGTCACGGCCCTCTCGGCCGACAGGAGCTTCTCGTGCAGCTCGCTGCCCACCAGCCCGGAGGAGACGGCCTCGTCCACGGAGAGCTTCTTGTTGTTGAGCGGGTCGACGACGAAGCCGGTGGCCGCCTGCGCCTCCAGCAGCACCAGAGCCGTGCCCTGCCGCAGGATGCCCTTCCACATGGCCTGGTAGATGCTCATCTTCTCCATCTTGGCGGGGTCGGCCTTGGAGGGCACCAGCACGCCAGCGATACAGCCCGTGCCGTCCAGGTAGCGCTTGACAGAGGCCATTTCCGTCACCTCCTGCACCGTCTTGGAGCCCTGGACGAGGTCGGCCAGCGTGTCCTTGTCGATGATGCCCGAGTCGACCAGGTCCGAGGCGGTCACCTGCCTCCTGAGGCCCGTGAATTTCACCTTGCTGCTCCGCTCCACCGCCTCCTCGATGAGGATGGTGAGGAGCCTTGCCAGCGCGTCCAGCGCCAGGCTCCCGGCACGGACCTGCCCCAGCAGCTCCTGCCTCTTTGCCTCGGAGACGTACGTGGAGAAGAGGAGCTCCCACAGGGAGACCTTCCTGCCGTGGAAGCCGCCTGCCGAGACCTCGACGGTGTGGGCCTTCAGAGAGCGCTCCAGCTCCAGCTCCAGCTCCCGCTCCCGCTCCCGCTCCCGCTCTCGTTCCTGCCGGGACCGCCATTCTCGGCCGGCGGCGCGGCCTCCTGCTGCACTGGCTTGCGGGCCGTCACGGGGCCGTGGGCCTGGCCCTCAGCCCCGGTGACGATGGCAGTGAGGAGCGTGATCATCTCCGAGATGGTGACCGTCCCGGCCTTGTACTTGTGGAGGAGGTCCTGGCGCCGGTGGTCGGGGACGTAGCGGGAGAAGAGGAGCTCCCAGAC